CTTGGGATATAATACCTTAGATTACAGAATCTGAAATGGCAACTGGGCAGAGTGGCACATGCCTGTAATCCCAATGGCCTGGGAGGCTGAGGCAGCTGAGTTCATAGCCAGCCTTAGTAACTTAGCGAGGTAAAAAAAATAAAAAGGACTAGGGGTGTGGCTCAGTGGTTAAGTGCCCCTGGGTTCAATCCCTGGTACCAATAAATAAATAAATGAAATGGCATTAGCTTTTGGGTTATCTCCAGGAGACTATGAACTCTCCCGAAAGGCAGGGATTTTCTTTCATTCACCTCTGTATTCCTGGCATATGGTAGGCATTTAGTAAGTGATTTTTGGTTAAATAAACAAGTTTCAGCAATGAATCACATTGAGAATGCAGCTAATGACAGCCCCGGGGTCTTTCTCTACTTGTGCTGTGGCCTAATCCTTACTTAGGCAGTTAGGTTTGGGACCTCAGGGCAGGACAGAACATTTTTCTTTATAAATTCCATCTCGATGGAAACGGCTCCTTCAGATCCTTTTCCTGCTCAGGGACAAATCAAGTTGGTAACTCCAGGTTGAGGTCCTAGATGAGGTCCTCCTTCCTGTAAAGCAGTGGGCACACGTGTCAGCTTGGTGTCACGCGAGTGGGCTGGTTCATTGTGCATCTGAGCTAACCCGTTAGAGTCAGCCTGGCAAGGCCAGGGTGTAGACAGCGCCCCCCCACTGTCAGGCTGGATAGGAAGACACTGAGTTTGGAAAACCCCAGTCCTCTGTACCAGTCACCACCTCACTTGGCTTTGAGACTCCCAAGGTTTTTAGCCAGGAGGATTTCCAATGGCCCATGTGCACCCGAGACCCTGAGCTTTCTTAGAGAAGGATGAGAAACCCACGGGGGGCTCAGAACCACAGCATCCCATGGGACCCCCATGGACCACCTCCAGGAAGGTCAATCCATAATTTCCAGGGGGAAAAAATCTAGAGTGAGAAAAGGTTAGGCTGTCAGGGACTGGAACAAAGCCCAACTCTTGATTCTTAAGTCTTCCTACCAGGCAAGGGCCCCAGGCCAATACCTTATTTACCTTCATCTGTTCCTTCTTAGGATCAATTCTGCCCCCTGCAAAATCAGGACCTGGATTCCACTCCTGGATCTCCAATACAGCTGCCCTCATCCACCAATAGCAAAAGAGTCGCATCAATATTATTGAGGCCTGATTATGAGACTATTTCAGGTGCACTGTGGGACAGTGGTTGTTCAGCTTTCCTGCACAAGGAAACTGAGCTCAGATCAGAGAGGGTGTGTGACTTGTCCGAGGCCACATTTCTAGCAAATGTCAATGATTCAAATCCCCAGCATGCCCCAAGATCACCAGAGGGAAAATTCAGATCCTGGAAATAGCCCGCTGCTTGCTGCTGCCTCTTGATTGAGTCCAGGAGGGTCCAAACAAAGCCCCCAAACTGAGAGTGACTTTCCCCTCCCACCACCACCCACCGCCTGTCATCCCAGCAGCTGGCCTCGGGAAGATGTTCAGACAGGCTGATCTTTCCCAGCAATCCATTCAGAAAATATTAGCCAGGGGCCTAAACTATTGGCACCTTCATCATTTGAAAACATCCTCCAAGCTGGGCCAGTGTGAACAGCAAGACTTTGAGAGTGTCTGTGTTAACACTGGCACCGGAAGAGCACACAGACCGGAGGCTGTTAGAGAACAGGGTGGTGAGACACGGCTTGGGTACAGCCCTAAGCCAGGGCACTGCAGATGGATGGATCTTGAGCATCCTCTAAGCGCATGTCCCTCTATCCTAAGGAACTTGAAGCTCAGAGAGGGACTGAGTGATGGCTGGGGTCACTTCGTGAGTGACAGAGCCAGGATTCAAACTCAGTTTATTTGGACTGTTTCCACGAGTGCAGGAATTCCCACCTGCCTGTCCACTTCTCATCTCTGGGGCTGACTTCAGAATTCCTGGGTGAGAATTGATCCACAGGAGTAGCCAGCTAGGAGGTGTCAGCAGAGACCAAGCCCAGAGGGGACCTGCTAAGCATCTCCTGGAGCAGTAAGTTAGAAAAGTAGCTGTTGCCTACTCCCAGATGGGAGCCTGTGCTCTCCTGCCTGCCAATTGAAATCCACTGGCATACATCCCCAGCCCTTAGCCTAGCAGTCACGGCCTCCATAGCCTAGCCCCAACTTGCCTCTCCATCTTTATCTCTTCTGACTTTATCTCTTCAGCCTGCCTCCTGTTCTGAGATGGCTGTGGAATTGTACATGCCTGTCCCAGATGCACGGCTAGAAATACTGCCTGTCCCTGGAGATTGCCCCTGCCCCCTCCATCCTGGGCAGCTCAACTCCAAACACAGCCCCTCTCCACTGAACCTTTCCTAAGCAACTCCTTAAACCTTTACAGCACATGTCCCCTCTCCCATCCATGTCACTCATCATCATGATGATGATAATAAAAAAAGCCATAGCCACCTTTGCTAGGTCACACTCTGGGCCAGGCTCTCTTGCCTTTGGACCTTAAGCACCCTTTAAGCTGAACACCAGCACTTCAGATTGACAGAGGAGGAAATAGAGGCTTGGACAGTTGCTCAAACCACCTGGCTAGAAACTGGAGCCCTGGACTCTACAGCCAAGATCTCCACGGTCCAGGCCACCAGGGCCCCTGCACATGATGCTTTGTTTCCTTAGTCATCATTGTATCTCTGTGGTGCTTTCTGGATTGGCAGCAGGTCTCTGAGAGCCTGGACCATTTCACCAATTTATCTATTCCACAGGAGTTTGTTGGGCACCTCCCACCACATTTCCAGAGTCTAGCTAGGCCTTATCTTGGGCATTAGAAATCCAGAGATAAAAAAAAAAGAAAACAGTTACAGTCTCTGCCCTCCAGGGCTCCGTCCTGTTTGGGAGACAAGACCCACAGAGAGACAAATGACTGGGCCACTCTGGGCCATTAAGGGGCTGGTTAGCCGAGGACAGGGAGCTTCTGGCCAACTTCACCTCAGATTTGAAACCTGGGACCAATTTGCTCCATTTTGTCCCCGAGACACTTGGTCTATTGTCCTGCACACAGCAGGTGCTCCGTCTGTACTGGTGGCAATGGCAGAATGAACACAGTGTCAATAAAGCCCCAGAGTATTTATCTAGTTCAGGTGTCCAGTGGGCTATCTGGGGTGCATTTAGTTTCAACAAACATGTGTTACAAGGAAAGGGACTTATCACAGCATGACAACGAGGACCTTCTGAGTTTCAAGCTCCTGGCAGGCAAAAGTTCTGGTTCATTCATCTAGGTGACCCAACAGAGTCGAGAACTGTGCCTCTGACTGAGGGGACCCAGATAAATATTGCTGATTGATGACAGAGGCTTCTGCTGTCTAGGGACAAGTCGTCTCGGACGGTCACTGAGGACAGGCCGGCTGGCACGTCCTATAGTCTCCCAATCTGTCTTTCATTCATCATCTCTCTGTCTGCTAAAAATATTGAGCGGCTGCATTTTCTTCTTCCTTGGGTCCCAGGGGACAGAAAGCTCAACTCTGCCCTGAAACCCCTGAGGAACTACAGCAGGCAAATGTGGAAAAGTCTCACCTCTGGATTGAATTTTCTTTTTTTTTTTTTTAACCTTTCTAGGGTAGCCCATGGCTATCCTAGAGCCAGACACAAGGGCTGAGCCTGCAGAGTAGAGAGGGCCCTCGATCAGGCCCCTGACCCCAGCTGCTCCTGAAGCTGAGGACTGCTGTCCCAGCCACCTTGTCTGGAGCATCTGACAGTGACAGACTCATCTTGGGAAGTGCTAAAGGAGATCTTGGACACAAACCCTCATCTGTTGGCTCAAACGTTGGATCTACTTTTTCAGGGGGTGGGGATTGTTTCCATACACAGCATCCTCTGCTGGTGACCAGCCCCTTGCTGCAAGCACTGATCACTGCCCATCCCCAGACAAATGTCCAGAGTACACACGGAAGCCAAGAACTGTGAGCGTTAGGCCCTGTGGGACAAAGTCATGCACTTTCCCTTTACCCAGCTCCCTCCCACTGACCTCCCTCAAGTGCTGGGCCACAGCCACAACCTGGAAGGATGGTCCAGGGGATAGAGAACTTTCCAGAACTGGACCAATGTCTTCCTCTTAGTTTCCTGAGATCCCTGCAGGGCATCCCATAGCTCATCCCTGAACAAATGGTAGGATTGGGGTGACTTGGATGGATACCCCAGGAACAAGGGCCCTTGGGAAGGAGCTAGTCTTTAAGGACATAGCCTCTTGACTCCCAGGCTGCTTCCAAGGGCTCTGCCTTATCTTACTTGACTGGACTATTGGTGATCTCCAGGCTCCCATTCCAGGGCAAGTGGTAATCTGACCACCCAGCAGGAGGAGCAGGGGACAATTCCACTGTCCTCTCCAGGCCCCTCTCCCACTCGGCCCTGCAATGTTCCCAGGACCTGTGGAGCTAGAGGCTTCACCCAATTACCCAGGACTCCCACCTCAAGGCCCAGGCCAGCTTGAGGCATCTCTTGACCCAATCCTACAAGGGGGGGGGGGTACACACGGACCCCTGCAGCAAAACAACTGCCTCAGCAGCAAAACAACTGTCTCAGATGCCAGAGTCTCTTTCAGGCTTCCATCACCCTGTGTCTCAACCCAAATCCTCTATCCTCTCCCTACCCAAGATCCCTGCCCCAAGGCTCAGAGTGTTTAATCACCTTGCATCACAGGCATTCCTGGGGGTCCTTCCAGAACTCTCCAAATCTCCACCTCCTTTCCTGGGGACCATTAAAGGGTCAGAGCTCCTCACTCAATAGGTGCCCCAGATCCATCCTTTCACCCCTGTCCCTGCCCTGGCCCAAGGTCCTTCCTCGATTTCTTTCTTCCCCTGGGGCAATTCTCTTTTCCCTGGGCCTGTCTGGTACCTTCCTATGCCCCAGACTTGCCCGTGTGTCTCCTCCTTCTTCCCCCACGTGTATCCTGGCTTCCCTACCAGCCACAGCAGGTAGCCTCCGGAGTTTAAAGCCTCAGCCCCACCCCGTGCTCACCGCCACCATTCTTGTAGCAGAGGTAGGGGAAGCGCCACACGTTGGCCAGGTCCACCGCGAAGCCGACCACCGACAGCAAGAAGTCGATCTTCTTGCCCCAGGTCTCTCGGGGCTGCGCATCGCTGTTGCGGGGCGCCAGGAGGCACTGGACGCCGTTGCGTTCCTTCACCACCAGCAGATCCGCGGTTTGGCAAGCGGGCAAGGACTGCTCGGGTTCAGGGTCCTCCCCGCTGGGCTGCACCTGCGGGTTCATCCGCGCCAGAAGCATGGGTGCGGCTGGCTAGAGGGACTTTCAGCGGTACCGGAGACACGCAGAAGCTCTGCTCGTATCAAAGGAAAAGAAGTGGTCACTTGGTGAGGGCGGGGGGGTCCTTCCTGCCTGTGCCAACAGAGACCACTGGGGAGATTGGGATCGGCGCGCGCTGAGCGGACTCGCGGTTCGCAGAAAAGGGATTACGTCTGTTGGAAAATATTGGATATAGAGGTTGTGACGCGCACCATTGGGACAAAACTCAGAGGTGGAGACCGCTTTGGACCTCCCTGTGAGTGCGACTGAAGAAGACCCCGCAGCGCTCTCTCTGGTTCACTTTCTTGCTCGCTCTCGCCCTCAAACAGCCGGGTCTGGACATACCAAGGCTGAAGTTTCCCGCGGTGACAGTGCCCGTTGCGCTTTCCGCCCTCCTCCCCACAGCGGGTCTTGGCCACCTCCAACAGCCCCAGGAGCCTCTGCACTCAAACTTGTGGGCACTCTAGTTCGTGGGCGTCAGCCTGGGTCTGTCTCCCTGCACACCTAACCCGGTCCCGCGCGCAAGGCGCACTCACGTGTGGGGCAGCAAGGGGACCCGGGTGCCTTGCGCTCTGCAGGTTCTGGGGAGTGAGCCGGGATTGGGCTCCGCCGCGTGGCACTCGGGCGCGGCCAGAGGAGCGCTGGAGTCCGGGGCAGCCGGCGGGACGTGGGCTGGCTGGTTCTGGCCACGCTGGGCGGGGGCCGGCTTGGTAATGTAGCCTGCGCCCCAGGTAACGCGCCGATTGCATTAGCCCAGCGCCCAGCCCGCTCTGTCTGGAGCCTGTTAGCACTAATGGAGACTGACAGCCGGGGATGGGCAGGGGCGGGGGCGCCTTGCGGGCCAAGGGCGGCCGGAGCGGGCTACCCGAGGACTCAGGGGACCCGGGAGCGCACTTTCTCCATCCTGCGCTGGAGCACTCCAAAGGATTCCGAATTCTCACCAGAAGACGACAGACTCCTAGAACTGGGGTCTGAGTCGCCTCAAAGAAGGTCCAAGAAAGGACTGAACAAGGGCGACCTGTGCGCAGCCAGCGCTGTCATCCGCAGCAGGCCACTTACACTACCTGCTCAGTGGGGACGAAAGCTCTGCTCGCTGTCCTGGACTCCAACTGGTGGTCTTCGGGCCGTTGGGTGGTTTTGACGGGCTCAGCGGGCGGAAAGGTTACTGTCTTGAGCAGTGACCTTTGAGGTTGTGACCCCTGTTTTATAAGGTGAAGAACTGATATTCATCTATTTAGTCATTAGTTCACCCTTTCGCTCATTGGTTCTTGCCTTTTCCTCCTACTTGCTCCTTGAGGCCCGTTCGTGGATGACACCACCAAGATTCTTGATGACATGGAGTTGATATTTAGTCCGGGGAGACAGGGGAAAACAAGAAACATAACAAACACATTATGTAGTAGGGAAGAAGGTCACGTGCACTATGGGGGAAAGCGCAGCAAGGTAAGGGGATGGTGGGGGAGGAGTGGGGTCAGCAAACTCTAGAAGGTAGGGTTTAGCAAAGAGTTGGCCACTTGGTGGCTGACTGCCTGGTGGCCATTTGCTTACTTATTCACTTGTCAGGTGATTAATTTATTCATTCATGACACCGGATTCATGATCACTTGCCGCCGGCTTCAACAGAGCAGGCTGGAGGAGCTATGGGGAGTTCCTGCCAACAGGGAGTTCCCAACCCAGTGTGTAAAGAGAGGGTCGCATCTTAGTATAGTGGGGACTGATTGTAACCATAAGAGTATGGAAGTTTGGTAAAGCTGGATAGGCAAGTAAGGGGTGGTGTGGTAGGAATTTGGATAAAGCCAGCCACATTGCCCTCACCCTGTTTTTAGCATCCAAAGATAAAACCCACCCCAGGACTCTTACACTTGCTGTTTCCTCTGCCTGAGTTACTCAGATCCCTTCCTAACCTCTCAAATCCAAAAATACACTCTCCATCTCAAACACACCACCCTATTTTGTTCCCTTCATGACATCACAGTCCAAAATTATTGATTCGACAACTCCCTTTGGGTGTCATATGAACTCCACGAGAGCAGAGACTTTGTCTGATACACCACTGTGTTCCCAGGACCTGTGACATACAGTAATACAGCATCAGTTAGTAAGTGAGGTGAATGAATGAGACGGAAGGCAGAGGGCAGGAGACCAGGGGAAGCGAGGAGTAGAGGTTTTAGGATAAGCTCTGGGAACACAGGTTCCCATCCATCAAGGCTACTTATCCCCTTTGGACTATGGACCACTGTGAGAAGTCTGTAAGGAAGAGTGCTCAGAATCATCTTTCCAGTTTTCAGGTTAGGACACTGTGGCTCTGAGGGCACAAGTTATCTTAGTTCCCACAGGTGGGAAGTGGCAGAGTTGAAATGAGAACCCCGGTTGCCTGGCTCCCACAACTTATGGTTGGAGACACTTGGGTCCCTCCTGCCCTCCACCCCCTGCCCCATCCATCTGATTATCAAACTCTGAGACTCCCATTCCTAAAATCCTTGCAAAGCCCACCCCCCCTCCCACAGCAGCCCAGCAGAGGGTCCTCATGTCTCCTGACTGGTCACCCCACATCCAGTATCTTTCCAGCCACATGATCATCACCAGCTGCCGGGATTCTTTCTACGACTCAAGCCTGACCACCTCATTCCTCTGCTTAAGACTCCTCTGAGACACACCAAGACATCAATGTGATTTAATTAACCTTGGACTCGAGGTAATTTTATTTTCTTCTTTATGCTTCTTTGTAGTTGCCAACTTCTCTACAACGAGAAGTTGATATTTTCGCAATCAGGAAAAGATAACCCACAACTTTCAAAAAACCTTTTCATCTTTCCAAGACAATATCTAAACATGTTCAGCTGTGTAGACAAGATTCGACTTGTCTGGGTAACCGTATCTTCTGCCACTCTAATTCCTCATTTTCACTAAAGATTTTGCTACTTCTGACACATGCAACATGGGAAACTCCATGAATCGTAGTTCCCTGAACTCATGCTTCTTCTTTTATGCATTACTAAATTTTTAAATATGCTATTTCCATCTGATTGTCTTTATGGAGAACTCCTATTCATCCTCCCAAACCTCCTACGTCACCTCTGAAGCCTTCCCTGATTGATAACTGTCTCTCACAACAGAGTCAAATACCTTTTGGCTGCTTTTATACTGCTGTATATATTTGTGTAGTTCAGTTACACATAGGACTTCCCTACCAGGGACAAGGACAATGCTGGATGTATCCTAGTATATAAATAGTATCCAGAAAAGGTTTATAAAACAGAACTAGAAGAGATCTCATTCTTTGATTGGGTTGAGGGTGGTTTTGTATTGGATTCTTCTAGAAGCAGAACCTGAAGCAAAGATTCAAATTCAAGTAGTTTATTTAGGAGGTAGTTGCTAGAAGCATTGGGAGAGAATTATGGGAGTGAGACAGGAAAGGGAAAGAACCCTCAACAGAGGGTAAATGTTAGTTAGTGCTGGGGGCATCTGGTATGTCTGCTGCTGGGACCTTGGAGACACAGAGTATGGCCTGGAGTCGTCTCATTTAGAGGCAAGGAAGCTGGCGTGTTGATCCACCTGGGTGGCACCTGAGGACTGTCTTTCCCACATTTCCAGCCCACCTGACATGGGGCAATCATGCTTCTGCTGCCAAGGAAAGGCTTCCCACAGAGTCCCAGACACTTGCAGCAGGAAGCTGTAGGGTCCGGTCTGCACTGGCGAGGAAGGTGTGGGCAGGGCCCTGGAAGAAGTACTCGCTGCAGGGCCAGAGGAGCCCCCCTCCCCCCCCCCCCGCCACCCGCAATATGCACAACCTCAGAGGACCAATCAGCAAGAGTTCCTTCTGTGGTTTCAGAGACATCTGGGATATAGCACCAAGGACACCAGGCTGAGGTTGAGCAGAAGGGAAGGCGTCTCCTACATCTCCGGCCCAGACTCCCCGCTCCCAGCTCCAAAAGCCATGGGGCCATGTGGCTTCTCCTGGTGCCCTGCATCCTGCCCCCCAGGCAGCCTGAGGGCAAGTGGTGGGCAGGAGGCTGGAGCATTATCAGAGCTAACATGGTCTCTGGGGAGGCGTCACTTCCACTTACTATGGCCCTTGGTGACACAGGCCATGGGATGCACGGCAATGGCTGGTGCTGTGGGTCCAGCCCTGGCCATCTCCCTGCAGACACCAGGGGCCTGGCACAGGGGGCTGGGTCCTCAGGATACAGTCAGTCTTCACCTCCATTGCACCAAGGGGGAAAAGAAGGGGAAAGAGGAAAGGAGTCTGCCTCCTGCCTCCCTCCCTCTCCCCACTCCTTTAGGGACATTAGATCTGTTTCATTGCAGTTAACTTTCCCTAGGGTCATTGGTCATTTATTCAAATTGTGCAATATTCACAAATAGCATGAAAGTTTCCTCATCACAAGACCCCTCTGAGCTGGGCAAGCGGAGCACGTCTGTACTTCCAGTGGCTCTGGAGGCTGAGGCAGGAGGATTGCAGGTTCAAAGCCAGCCTCAGCAACATAGAGGTGCTCAGCTCCTCAGTGAGACCCTGTCTCTAAATCAAATACAAAGTAGGGCTGGGGATGGGGCTCAGTGGTTGAGTGCCCCTGGGCTCAATCCTTGGTACAAAAAAACAAAAAGAAGACTGTCCTCAGCTGAAATCGATCTCCCTCAGGGCACTTTGACTAAAGCCCCCTGGGGGATCCTCGAGGTGTCCATCCCATCCCGATGTGACTCAATCCCTAGAGTCTTCTCCCTAAAGTTCTTAGCCCAGCTGACCCCATCCAGGTACTGGCATGTCTTTCACTGTTGACCTTCACAAGTGTGTCCTCTGTCTGTGTCTCCCCCACCCCCACCAAATTCCACATGCCTTCATCCAACAGGAGACTGGACATCTCTATGTGGGTAATAAAAGGCCCTTGTAACTGCCCATGTCCAAAGCAGAGTCGTGGAGGTCCCCTCCCTAACATAGGCACAGGCCGGCTTCTCCACCCTGCTCCCCGTCCCAGGGAATGGCCATCTTCCTCCCTCCCTCAGGCCAAACCCCGGAGTCAGCCTGGACTCTTCTTCTTTCACTGCCACATGCGACCCTGCAGCACACTCTGTGGGCTCCAGGTCATGTCACATCTCTGCATCTCTGTGCTGGGGTGACTTCTCTGTTCTAAGCCACCATCTCCTGCTGGGATGACATGATGGCCTCTAAGTAGCCTCCTCGATTTCTCCCTCTGTCCTTTGAAGCTTGAGCCCTACGCAGCTGCTAGAAAGACCTTTGGGAATGAGTTTGGATCCTTCTCCCCCCAACTCCACCCCCTCTCTCCTCTCTGTCTCATTCAGAATAAAATCCAAGTCCTTCCAGGGCTGATAGGAATGAATGACTGAACTCATCCTTGGGTGGACTTGGCCAATGCATGGGAAGCCAAGTGGAGCAAGAAGAGCAGGGTGCTGGGGCAGAGGACAGAGTGCAGGTGGTGTGGCGGAAAGGGCTCCGGGCTGGGAGCCGTCACCCAGCTCTGATGTGTTTGGAAACTGTGGTGGTGGTCAAGTCGACCAGCAAGATGGGCAGCACCGTGGAAAGACGGAAGACAGTGCCCATGTCAGGAGAAGAGCCCCGGAAGGAGACAAGAAGGTGTCCAGATAGGAGCTCAGTGTCCAGGAAAGGAAGAGCTTTTCCCTCCCTTCTGAGTTCCTAGACACGCCCTTTGACCATGATCGTGAAGGTGATGGGGAGAGAGTCTCACACCTGGATAGTGCTCCTCTCCAAGGCAGAGGGGGTTGTGGCTACTTGACAGGGATGAGCCATGATCTGCCTGACATGAGGTCTCTGTCCTTCTAGGAACCACAGAATAAGACAAAATCTCAGAAATCTTCATGCCCTGTTGTCTTCTGTCAGGAGACCAGATAGTCCAAAGGTAAACACATGAATGTGCAGAGAAGCTCAGCATTTCTAAATTTACATATGAAATTTATCATACGTAAGAAAAAGTTTAGATCCCAGGTGTGACCAGTCCTCAGTTTAAATAATAGTAATTATTATTATAGGAACCTACAAGAACTCACCCAGTTCTCCAGTTTAAGGAGGATACATCCATGTCCCACAGGTCCCCTGTGTCTCTCCCTCAGCAGATTCCTTCACCTCTCTTCCCTCCACGGAGAGGTCACCCCTGTCCTGAATTTAGCAATCCCCAGTTCCTTCTTTTTCTTTATAGTGTTACCACCTATGAATATATTTCTAAACAATACTCTGTTTAGTTTTATTCTTTTATGAATTTCATATGAAAGGCCTTACAGTGTAGATATTGTCCTTGAGTTCTCTGGTTCACTATAATTTTTTTAGATTTATTTGTGAGCATGGGGTTGGCCATAGTTGGCTTATCCTCATTGCTGTACGTATTGGCTCTATTGAATGA